GATGAGTAGTATAACTGGCGAGAGCGGGAAATCTCAGGCAAAGAGCAAGAGAGAAAGTCTAGAAAGCAGCATACACCAGGTGTACTTCAATTGCTGATAGTAGTCCGCAGTACCAGGGTATGTCGGGATGACGGCGAGCAGGAATTCGCCATGGAAAAATTTCTGCAGTTTCATGACTCCCCGCCGATGGAGAACCGGCGTGCAAGGTCCGGATAATGTCCGTCGCGCGCATCCTGTCAGTGGGGGCTACCGGGTGCCGGGTCGGATCGACCAACGTCAACGATTTTCCTGCCCTGGAGTAGATAGTGGATGAACGTATTGCGCCATCGACATGCAAAGCACGCAAGCAAGCCTGGCGCTTGTCGTTCTTTATGAGCTTCTGGTTCCAGTTACATCTCATCCAACAATAACAAGGACCCGGCTGTCTCTACCAGCGGAGACCTACAGTCAGCTCTGGACGACCGAAGGCGTCTATAGCCGGCAACATCGCTTGATGAGTCTTTGGGGGATTACACACTGACTACCTTGAGCAAGAGTTAAAGCCATTCATAGAAATGCCAATCCATAGAAACATTAGTTCAAAAATCATCTTGGACCCTGACGAAGTGCCTCGCTTTTTCATCACGGCCATGAGGCCAGAGGGTAGGATTTACAAGGCTTGCCGAATGAACCATACAGAACACAAAGTCCCACGGAATCTCGTCACCTAAGGAACTGTGTGTCGACCTTCTCAACACCAATGACTAGACAGCACTGAGAACATTTCATCTCTCCCGGACGACAGCAACCTCTCTTAGTAGTTGTAGCTCCAAACCCGAGAAAGACCACGGAAAAAGACACATGGACTGTTACAGCCTTCCTAAGGGATCGTTTGCCAGCAGGAAAAGCCCCCTTAGTCCACAACCAAGAGACACCATATTGCAGGGCGATCCTCGCCGCGGAGGGAAGTGAAGAAGTTGCGTTTGTTGACAGAGCTGAAGAAAGCGCGGCATTGCAACTCTTCAGATTCTTTTCAAACGAAGTAGTAAGAACCACACAATAACCGACGTTGGCTTGTCAGGAGGGTCCGAGGAACTTCTCCTGTAGCACCGCGGGAAGATACGTTTCAAACCCGAACCCACGAAGAGCCATTTTGTCGCCTCGAAACCAGATCAATGCTGGTTCCGCCCACAGCAGCTAACACGCTCGTAACGAGACATTCGTCAATTAATCCGCCGGTCCATTCTCGCCGCGGACAAACACCCTCAAAAGCCTGCCCGCGAAGCCCGCGTGTCTGGGATGCTCATCCCATCGGTCCCACTGAACTGGGTAGAAATGCTGGAAAGCAAGCCAACCTAGAAAGTTCTCAAGAAAATAGTCCAGCTCTCGAAAGAACGAATTCCGACCTCGCACTGCGGATAAGTCGAGGCCGATGGTTTCTAGACGAAACTTCCGTATTTGATGAGCGTTGGCATGTATGGTGTTGAAAGCTAGCTCTGCGTTGAGTCCTGAGAGCCTCAGAGCCCGAAAAAGTGGGCCGTGCACCAGACTCGCGGAAATCTCGCTTACATAACCCCGACCCACGTCACCTGACAAATAAAATCGCAGCCGCCGCAGAAATTTTTCCTTCTTGGCCATCACCAAAAAACCAACAAATGCTGACACCTCTAGAGGATCAGACGCGCGAACAGAGGAAACGATTCAACGAACCAGCAAGCAAGTCTTATGCTGGCTACTTGTGCCCTCAACGATTGAAAGTCATCTGTAGACGCCGTCTGATCTTCCAGCATCAGTCAAGGTATGTGAACTTTTCTGCTTCTCGGTCTTCATACGCACTTTTCCCCCTCGTCTTAAAGATGATTTGGATTAATCTCCATTTGTATTTGATATCTTATTAAATGATTTTTATTCACACTGAAAATTCTGAAACGACACTATTTGTTACCTTTCTGTTTGCTCAGTTCCGAAGGCATTCAGTCGGCTAACAAGACGAATAGGTTTACATTGCAAATATACACCTCCGGTTTGAGGCTTTGAGTGTTGGTTTCGCTGGATATTTTGACGTCATGTTCATAGTTGATTAGCATGTAAATACATCTTTTTCATCACGTCGACTCTGTTCCACGCGTGATGACCTGGTTTGATGCTCGTGGCAAAAGGTTACATGGACCTTAGTTACGTAAATCGCTGTTGGCAAAGTCCCCATTCAACTGCTGCCACTGAGACGTCGGTGATCCCCGGGGGGCGCGGCAATGCAGGCCGTGAAGCCCCCATCTCCGATGGAATGCCTCCGGGCCAATGGTTAACCTGCCACGATGTCAAGCCGCAACGAGACGCGGGCAGGCGGGCACTCGCGCGGCTCTGCGCCTCCAGCAAGCTCCAGCCTTCGGGGCTTGGGAGGCCTCGGGATGTCTGGAAACTCCGTACTTCGTAGGGACAACGACGGTGAGCGAGCAGTTCGTCGCCGCACCCGTGGGCGGTGCAGATGGGCCACTGGGAGGAGGGGGGTTTTCCTGCAGGTCATGGTCAAGTGCCGGTTTAGCCTGGTTGGAAGGGACCCAACGTCGATGAGGTTTCCCAATGGCACACTGGCCTTGGAAGAACACCTTAATGCAGCAAATTAAGGAAGCATTTCCTGGAAGCAGATCTGGGGGAAACTAATCAGTTGCCCTTCTAGAGTCCCAGCAGTGTTTACAGAGTCAAAGAAAGTTGGAACTTGGCAGTGGGCGGCATGTCGTGGCAGACAAGCAGGGCCCATCCCAACAAGCCGATTTCTTTTTCCCGCGAAACAATTGTTCAAATGATGACAGAGTCGGCGATGGAGTTTCGGGCTCTCTGGTGACTTGTAAGGTAGCGACTAAAGAGTGTCTTGGGCAACCTCGTCTCCATCGACCACGAGGCCAGACCAGGGCCAATGTGGGGGGGTTTCTCGCTGAGAGTATTTCTTCGCGCTTCCCGAGAGGTTCCAGCCTCCAAAATATGCCCTAGCAGCACATAGTGCAGGGGAACGATGGGATTGGGCGCAACTGTAAATGCCTACCTGTGCCATGACGACACCAGGCTGCGATGAGGCGGGGCAGAAGCTTCCAGGGTTCGAATTGTGAGTGATGGACGCGGTGCGATGCATCTTTGAAGTCTGCCGCCACGGACGCCGTCTGATCTGTCAAGAATGTCAAGAATGCTAGCTTGGCCTCTCCCGAGGGTTAAAACAATACCTTAACTCATAGCCTCCGCGCGGATGGTTGCGCGACGACTCGTTTGTCTGTTTCCGCGCGAGCTGCACAAACCCGGCTCAAACCGCCCCGGGGGCTTCGCGCGCTCTCTCACTCTTCACCTTCTCCTGGACTGTCTTCTCCTCCTGAAATGTGTCCGCGGGGTATCTTTGTCTTCTCGAAAGCTGACCAGCTGTCCCGGGTGACAAGGATGAGGGGCGGATGACAAGGCCGCCCGGGGATGTTACGGCCTGTCATTGTACTGAGCCACCCACCCTCTCAGCTTCGGATGGCGTGCCGCACCAAATCTGCCTGGTCACAAGGCTGCCTTGCACCGTGATCCCTAGTTTTTTTGGTACTCCTATGTTTTTGTTGGGGAGGAGTGGTGTTCTCACTGATGTTGGAAGGACTTGTCGCATGTCTCGTTTGTAGTCAGTAGACTGGCGACTGACGAACATCTGGTGCTTCTTTCGTGGGGTTGGCTTCGGAGTCACAGTGGCCAGTGTAAATGACGTAAGAGCGTTGATAGATATCGCTAGCCCCTCGGTAAGCTTTCGATAGTAGGTAGACCTGGAGCGAGCATATGACAGTTCGGGTCGCAGACTGTCGAGAAGTATAGGTAAGGTAGGCTGCCTGGAGGTGAATAGGTACTATCAAAAGATGAGAAAAAGGCGCCTCCATTTGGGTAAGATGTAGGTACCTGCCTTCTTTTGTGCCCTGGTCGAGTCCAAACGCTTTGGAGACTGGATGGATATACATAGTAGTAGTGTGGGCGGTCGAGGGTCAGAATTTGATGATGACATGGGACACCCTTCGACAATCCGTGGCTCGTGGCTCGCTGCACATTAGTACTGCAATAGCAGTTCCTTTCCCCGTCCGCTGACCTTGGCCGGACCATCTGGAGTCTTCCCAAGTCGTGGCTTGGGCGGCGGGCACGGGCACTGACAAGACCGGGCCCAGAAACGAGGTCTGGCTGATCCCGTCCCATCCCTCAATGTTTTGCGCCCTGGTCAGAATGGAAGGGAAAGCCTCAGGGGGATGCCTCAGAATGATCATCGAGGTCCGAAGAAGCAGGTCCGGAGAAGTAGACTACCTCATGGTAGAGGAGAGGTAGACTAGGATATGTAAGAAGGTAGGAAGGTATGGACATTATTGCCTACCCACCTGCCGCCCTGCCCTGATTTTGCTGTTTCTGCTTTGGCAACAGCGCTGTGTGATCCTGCCCACTACCTTACGGAGTATTGCGCTTTCCCATCTCAGCCCAACACCAACTGGACGGCCCACGGGTGACGGACGGTTCGACGGGCTGCCCCTCCATCTCTTCGCTTCCACGGTCCCTTGCCGTCCCTCCACCTCCCCTCCATTCTTCCCCCCTTCTCTCCCGTCTTCTCTCGCTCCCGAACGCTCTCTCCACTCGCTCACTTTCTCTGTCCTTCTCCCGGGCACTTCCCTCTCTCACATCACCCACCTTTACGTTGGCTGGACTGGAATCGACTGGATATTCGTCTATTGGTGTGTTCAATAAACAGATTCCCATCCTCTCACCCAACCAGAGGCGATCGCAGTCCCACCAGCCTCCTAAATAAAACCAATCTACCACGTACACCCGTAAATCGAACTAGTCACTACTACACATGCACACCATTTAATCCGTGGGCTCCCCTCCGTCATCATCGCACATCCTTTGTTCAACCCCCCCGCCTGCAAATCTACACCATCCAGCCGAACCGTTGTCGCCCGTTTTGACTTTTGTCTGCCGCTTCCCGAAAACAGCGTTGCCCTTCGACGAGCCCCCCATCGCATTTAGCGATGGCTGGAGTTTATAGAGAAACCACTCGGGTTTACCGGGACCCGACTGAGTACTCATCCGATGAAGACCGATACAAGACCTCCACAGTCCGCCGTTACAAAGTAGCGCCAAGTCGAGTCGAGAGGGTCGAGCGCACTGAGCGTGTCGAAGTCGAAGAAGACGACCGCCGGTCACGATACTCCGGCTACCCGCTGCGCACCTCCGGCGAGTATGGCTATGCTCCCGATCGCCCGCGCTCCGCTTTCGACTCCCGGAGCCAGGTAGTTGAGCGCACGGTAACCGAGCGTGAGCGCGAAGTTATTGACCCCTACAGAGGTGACACCCGTAGCGTCGTCTACGAAAAGGAGTACGAACGTGAACGTGAGCGCGCCCCCCGCTTCGATGCCGGCCGCTTCGACGATGTTCGCAGCGTCGCCGACAATAGAAGTGTTATCGAAGTTGAGCGTGAGCGCGAGCGCGTTGACTGGGACCGCCGCTCTAATAAATCTCATCGCCACCACCACCATCACCATTCGCCCGAGACAGAAGTCAGGGTCGACAAGCGTGTCGAACGCCGTGAGGATGGAGACGTCACAGTCGAGAAGCGTGTCGAAGAATACCGGGACGATCATGGCGGAGCAGAGGTCGAGAGATACCGCAAGGAGACCGAGTTCTACTCTCCCGTCAGCCCCCCACCTATTCCCCAACCCGTCATCATTCGTCAGCAAGCCCCGGAGCCCCAGAAGATTATTGTCCAGGAAGCTGCACCACCCGCGCCCATCATCGTACCCCGTCAGGAACCCGGTATCGTCGTCCTCAGAGAGCGCGAGTCCCCTCGCGAGGTTGTCCGCCGCGATCCCCGCGAGGATGAGTACTACTACCGCCGTGAGACAAAGGAGCTTGGTCCGTATCGCCGAGATGAGCGTGAGTACCACTACGACCGACGAGGCCGTGGTCGCGGCGAATACATCAGCGACGACGAGGATTACTACATGAAGCGGACTGTCATTCGCCGAAACCGAAGCTCCAGCTCAGACCATCATCACAAACGCCATCTTGCAGAGGGAGCCCTCGCTGGCGCCGGTATCGCTGCTCTCGCTGCGAGTCGAAGAGATAGCCGCGGTGAGCTTGGTGCCAACCGAGGAAGCAAAGTCCTCGCTGGTGCTGCCATCGGTGGCCTAGGCACTGAAATCATTCGACGGGCTCGTAGCGCGTATGAAGACACTTACCACGAAGATCATCACTACGGGTCTCGCTCGAGATCTCGCAGTCGCAGCTCCCGCATCAAGACCGGTCTGGGGATTGCTGCCGCCGCGCTCGCTGTTGCAGGCGCCGCAAAGTATTATCAGAGTGGAAAGATCGAAAAGGAAGAAATGCATCGTGGTCGAAGCCGCGGCAGAGGCTACTCTGTTTCAAGCTACTCTGTATCTAGATCTCGTAGCCGCAGCCGCAAGAGCCGGAAGAGCCGCAGTCGCTCCGTGGCTAAGGCTGCTGCTGCAACTGCTGCCGCCGCGGGTTTGGTCCAGCACTTCCGCAACAAGTCCAAGTCCAAGTCAAGGAGTAGGTCGCGGTCTAAGTCTCGCATCAGGACCGGGGCAGAGATTGCCGCCGCTGGTTTGGCAGGCGGAGTCGCTAGCAAGATTTATAAGAACCGCAAGGAGAAGAAGGACCGCGAGGTAGATCGAGAACTAGAAGAGCAGGACTATGAGGAGGAAGTCCGGCGGGAACGGCGTGAACGTCGTCGGTCGCGCAGCAGGTCCCAGGCCCGCTCTCTATATTCCGAGCCGCGCAGCGCTGATCCTGAGCTAGGCTTAGTTGAGTACGGAACAGAACCGCTGCCGACCGACCCGCCTTACCCGCCGGACGACGGGTATGAGTCTGCAGCGAACGAGAGGCAACGCCGTCGACACCGGCGTATGTCTGGCGATGATTACGACGGCCACGAGCCGGCAAAGAAGAGGAGCAAGAGCCGATTGAGAGACATGGCGGCAGCAGCAGTCGGAACGGGAGCCGCGGCAATTGGACTTAAGCAGTATCAGAAGAAGAAGGAGAAAGAGGAGGAAAGACGAGAAGAGAGGCGAGAAGAAAGAAGGTCGAGGGAGAGAAGCGCCCGGTCTCGCTCCAGGGACAGATCGGTCACACGGGAAAGGACTTACTCACGAGAACGCGCCTACAGCAGGGAACGCAGCACAGACGACAGGATGAGGAACAGGGAAAGAGAGAGGGACCGCAGGAGTAAGGAGTCCTGAACCGAGCACACGTTGACAAACCAGTAGAACTGACAGCATTGACAGGATATGAAGAGGATGCTCGGGATGACGGGTACTACGACAACTACAGCCGTCCTCCCTCACCACCACACGCCTCTGGCGGCTCATTCTACCCGCCACCGCCAGCAGCCGCCGCAGGCTTCACCCAGCATCCCAACATTTCCACGGCCAACCTTAGAGATCAATATCCGCCGTACCCGTCCTCAGACTCGGTGTACCCTCCGGGACCACCGCCAATGGGGCCATCTCCACCGATGGCCACAGGCGGGGCCGGCGGCTATCCTCCCCCTCCGCCTGCTGGTGGCCATCCACCTCCAGGCGGTGGTCCGCCGGGAACGAGATTTGGTCCTGACCATGTGAGTGAAGACATATCTCGTAGCTCCTCACCACAAGCTGTCCAGCCAGCCGGTCTGGGTCGTGAGGGTGGGTTGATCTAATCGTTGTTTCTTTTGTGATATTTCTTCGTTCATGCCTATATCAGAAGCTGACTTTCAACGTAGATGGTCTAAAGTGGCGAGAGCGTGTCAAAAAGTTTCTCCCCGAGTCACTGTCTAGGTCTCGTTCACAGTCCCAACCGCGATCTCGGTCTCGGTCCTTATCTCCTACGTCTTCATCGGTGTCGAGCGCTTTATCCGCAAAACGCCCTCACACTGCTCAACATTCTTCTTCCAAGTCTGTTGCCTTTACCCTGTCACCCCAATCATCCCAAACCTTGCGGCTACACCGCTCAGCCCACGAGCAGCAGGCCGAGGAAGAGGCTAGGAAAGAGGAAGAAGTACCGGCCCTCAGCGAAGAGCAACTGGCGACGCTGCGGCCTGTCCTCAACCGTAGGCGTTCCTCCTCGGATCCACCTAGTAGCAGATCGGTCTCCCGTCGCCGCAAGAGGGAAATCGAAACACCACCAGAATCGGAAGACGAGGTTGAGGTCCTGCCCGACCGCTTTGATACACAGGGACGACCCGTTGGCGGTGGTGGCAGTTCGGGGGCCATGCGATGGAGACAAGGGGCGTTCGACAGCCGGCCACGAAACGGCAAAGGATTGCATTCAAGCGGGGCATGGGCTGTGGGTGGTACAGATGGCGATGTTGTGCAAAAGATTGCGAGCGACATTGAAGGCATGATCAGCGGGCAAAGCAGTTGGAAGAGTCTGCTGAAGGATGTGGTGGGAGCGGTTCAGGAAGTGCAACATGGCGGTGACGCGCGTAGGATAAACAACAGTGACGACGATGACCATGACGACCGACGAAGGAGGCGAAGGAAGAGCGGATGACGATTTATGACCCTTTCTTTGGATATCTTTATACGAATTTTGCGACGCCATGAATTGGCGCTTTTACATTCTTAGGACCTAGACACGACATGATGTTACAGATAACGAATTTATGACTCTGGTTCGAAATAATTTTGGTAGACATAAATACATGAGCAGAATTTAATGATTGCGCTTGATTGACCAACAATGCATTTAGAAACATGGAGGTCCAGACAAAAGAGCACGTATTATGTACTTTGATTGGGCCTTTCTATTTCTAGTATCACACAATTCATCTACGGGTCATCATCTCTCTCTCTTCTTCTTTCATCATAATTCGTCGTGCACCGGAGGCTTCTCTGGCCGTCCGCTATCCTTGTGCAAGTCGACGCCGACCTTGCCCCGCCACTTTTGGAAGACGCTCCAAAACTCCTTCTCCATGCCGCTCTCCATCTGATCGGGCAGCACGACGACGTAGTCGACGTACAGGTTGCCAAACTCCGTCTTGTGGTACACGCTGTCGCCGTCCTCGTGGAAGACGGGCATACCCTCGCCCTTGACCGTCTCGACGTGGCCCGGCTGCACGACGCTTCCCCGGTCGCGCGAGAGGCGCACGACGTGGCCGTCTAGGTGCGTCACGTTGCGCGTCCAGTCGCCCATCCACGCCTCGCGCAGCGAGAGCACCTCGGTCCAGTAGAGGTCGTTGTCCTTGCGGCGGAAAAAGGTGCCGTCGACGCGGTCCGGGTTGTCCTGCCCGATCTCGGGCTCCTTTTCGGAGAGCGTGACGACGAGGTTGCCGGCGACGTAGTCCGGGCTCGCGTCCGCCTCGTTCTCGTAGACGATCTGGCTGTCGCGCCCCGCGCCGCGGGCGACGGTGAGCTGGACGGTCGTGGGCTTGCGCACGACGCGCGCGCCGCCGCAGGTGTGGCACTTGTGCTTGATCTCCTGGCCCCGTCCGCCGCAAGCGTCGCACTGCATCTGGACCTGCTGGAACATGCCCGGCGCGAGCTGGTGCTTGACGATGCGCACGCCGCGGCCGCCGCAGACGCCGCAGGTGTCTACCTTGCCATCTGAGGATCCCGTGCCGTCGCAGTCTTCGCAGATGTGCTGCTTGTCCCACTGGAACTCCGTGTTGATGCCGTTGTAGAAGTCGCGGAGGGAGATGCCGATGCGAACGTTCACGTCTTGGCCGCGGCGCTGACCATGGCCGCCAAAGTGGCCGCCGCCGCCGAAGAAGCGGGAGAAGACGTCAAAGGGGTCGTGGCGGTGACCGCCGCCGTTTTGCTGTTGCTGCTTGAGGCCCTCGTGGCCGTATTGGTCGTAGATTTTGCGGGTTTCGGGGTCGATGAGGGCTTCGTAGGCCTCGGAGACTTCGACAAACTTGTCCTTTGCGCTATCGTCGCCTCTATTGTTATGGGAATCACTAGTCAGCTTCATGCAATGAGTAGGGACAATCAGGAAAAGGAAGATGCATACGGGTTCTTGTCGGGGTGGTATTTCTTGCTCAGCTTGCGATAGGCGGATTTGATTTCACGATCCGAGGCCTTCTTGCTGATGCCTAGGAGATTGTAGTAGTCCTCGGCGCAGAGGGCCAGCTGGACGAGGCATAGGAGCAGCAGCACGAGTGCTGCCCCTCGGAGGTACATCGTGGGCCCCCTGTGGTGTACTTCGAGATATGGGTACTTTTCTTTCGATGAACCGGGCGCGAAAGGAAATCCTCGTTGACTCGTGGACCCTTTTGGAATTCTTGAGTCCTGAAGGAACAGAGAGAGACAAGGACTTGTCGAAAGAGAAACCGGGTTGCGAAAGAAAAAAGGAGAGAAAAAGAGAGATGTGAGATAGGGTATGGAGATAATAGGTAATCGATTCAGAGGAAGCGCGCAAACCAGCTGTCCCAAAATGTAAAGTTCCAACGTGTTAAGAAGGGAGCTACGCAGGTCCGATAAGACATGTTATCCGGGCATGTTCATTGGGCGCTGGCTTCTTTGCAGCTTGTGCCCCACTCTCGTGGCTAAATTATGTGGGGCCTTTGGAAGTTCAGACGAATGCGCAGAGACATACCAGGCACGTCAATTGCATGAGGCCTCATCCTTCATGACTTGACATCGCCAGGCCGACTTCAGGCTTCCTTTTGAGCAACTTCTTTCCGAACTGCCAAGCCGAAAGCGCTGGAAACCTTTTGGAAGTTTACATCTCATACCTTCGGATTGATACATACGACCATGGCATCAAAAAAGTACGCCTTCCTCCCCATGGACGACGACGAGGTCGGTCCCGCCAAGGTAGTCAAGGACAAGAAGAAGCACAAGTCGCGCCATCGCGACCGTTCGAGCGAAAGACAACGGGATCGCGACCGCAGCGATAGACCCTCGAGAAGACGATCACGCTCCAGATCACCGGCCCGACCCTCAAAGCAGTACCGAAAACGAGACGCAGACGACGACGATAGGTGGGCGGACGAGGAGCCACCTTCGGAACCCGAAGAAGTTGACGGCAATGACGAGCCCGAGTTCAAAGAGTCTGCGTCAAAGCGGGTAAAACTCAGCCACGATGATCGCGACCGAGACGCGGACCTGTCGGACGGCGCGAAGGAGGAGCTGGAGCGTCAGCGCGACATTGAGGAGCGCGAGGCCTTTGCGAAGCGGTTGCGGGAAAAGGACGACAAAAAGTCAAAGACGGCTGAGAGCCGGCGGCCGGAGGTGGATCGCAAGGCGAACATGGAGGATCTCCGCATGAAGAGTCGACAGATGTACCTCGGGAAACGAGAGGCTGAGAAGCTCGCCCTGCTGCGCAAACAGGTCGCCGAGGAGACGGAAGAGTTGAGAAGCGGTTTGAGGCTATCGGAGCGGGAGAAAGCCGAGTTCACCAAGAATCGCGAGATTCTACGGCTAGCGGAGGAGCGCCTCAAGATTGACGACCACAAGGATGGGTATTACATACCGGAGGACTACATCACGGAGAAGGGAAAAATCGACAAGAAGAGGAAAGAAGATGCGATGTACAAGAGGTACATGGAGAAGGATGAGTACGGACAAGAAAAGTTCGTTACGGAGCATGAAGAGTGGGAAAGGGAACAGGCCACCAAGGCCAAGGCGCAGATCCAGAGGTCGGAGAGAGAGAACGACGATTACGCCTACGTCATGGATGAAGAGCAGTACATCAAATGGAACTTGGGATCGAGTATGCCTGGGGAGGGCAAATTGACCAAGGAGCAACAATTCCTGGCGGCGCAGATCGAGGCAGCAGAGAAGAAGCAGCTCACGATCCAGGAGACGAGGAAGAGCCTGCCCATCTACGCATATCGAGATGACTTTCTCGCGGCGATGGAAAAGTATCAGATTCTGGTCATTGTTGGAGAAACGGGTTCCGGAAAGACGACACAACTACCGCAATATCTACACGAAGCTGGGTTCACCAAGAATGGTATGAAGGTTGGATGTACGCAACCGCGTCGTGTTGCTGCAATGAGTGTCGCTGCTCGTGTAGCAGACGAGGTTGGCGTCAAGGTTGGACAGGAGGTCGGGTATTCGATTCGTTTCGAGGACAACACGAGCGACAAGACGATTTTGAAGTACATGACGGACGGCATGTTGCTGAGAGAGTTTATGACTGAACCTGATCTTTCCGGGTACTCGGCCATCATGATTGACGAAGCTCACGAGAGAACTGTCCACACGGATATTTTGCTTGCTCTAGTCAAGGATCTGGCAAGGGAACGGCCAGATTTGAAACTACTGATTTCGTCGGCGACAATGAACGCCGAAAAGTTCGCTGCTTATTTCGACGATGCCCCTATTTATAACATCCCCGGACGAAGATACCCAGTTGACATTTACTATACGCCAGCGCCAGAAGCCAACTACTTGGCAGCCGCCATCACTACGGTCTTCCAAATCCACACAACGCAGGGCAAGGGCGACATTCTCGTCTTCCTCACGGGTCAGGACGAGATTGACGCGGCCGAACAACAAATAGTCGATACGGCGAAAAAGCTGGGAAGCCGTGTCAAGGAGCTTGTGGTCTGTCCGATCTATGCCAATTTGCCATCAGAACTGCAGGCAAAAATCTTTGAACCGACCCCTGAGGGTGCTCGCAAGGTCGTTCTGGCTACCAACATCGCCGAAACCAGTTTGACAATTGACGGCATCGTCTATGTCATCGACCCCGGCTTCGTCAAGGAAAATGTCTACAACCCTGCCACCGGCATGTCAAACCTCGTCGTGACACCCTGCTCAAGGGCATCCGCGAACCAGAGGAGCGGTCGTGCCGGTCGTGTCGGACCCGGAAAGTGCTTCCGCCTCTACACGAAGTTCGCCTACATGAACGAAATGGACGAGTCGCCCATGCCCGAGATACAGCGCACGAATCTCAACGGCGTCGTCCTACAGCTCAAGTCGCTGGGCATCAACGAGCTCCTCGACTTTGAGTTCATGGACCCGCCACCGACCGAGGCCCTCATCGGCGCCCTGAACCAGCTCTTTGCCCTCCAGGCCCTCAACCACAAGGGCGAGCTTACCAAGATGGGCCGCCAGATGGCCGAGTTCCCCACGGACCCGATGCTCGCCAAGGCTGTCCTCGCTGCCGACAAGGAGGGCTGCGTCGAGGAAGTGCTCTCCGTCGTCTCCATGCTCAGCGAGGCATCTGCGCTCTTCTTCCGCCCCAAGGACAAGAAGATCCACGCCGACTCGGCGCGTGCCCGCTTCACCGTCAAGGAGGGCGGCGACCACCTGACGCTCCTCAACATCTGGAACCAGTGGGTCGACAGCGACTTCTCGCCCATCTGGTCGCGCGAGAATTTCCTGCAGCAGCGCTCCCTGACGCGGGCGCGCGACGTGCGCGACCAGCTGGCCAAGCTCTGCGAGCGCGTCGAGGTCTCGCCCTCGAGCTGCGGCGCGTCCAACCTGCCGCCCATCAAGCGCGCGCTGACGGCCGGCTTCTTCCCCAACGCGGCGCGCCTGCAGCGCAGCGGCGACAGCTACCGCACCGTCAAGAAAAACGCGACCGTCTACGTGCACCCG